CGGAGCTCATCAGATTGGCAATGACGACGGTGGGCAGCATGGAGCCCCAACCGCTCTCGACAATGACCACACCGAGTATCTCGCCTTTGGCCTTGGGTACAACGACCTCCTTTTGCAGCTCCTTTTTGGCAAAGATCTCGAGCTCGTCGCCAAAGATCTCCTGGCTATTGAGCACCTCCTGATAGTCCATCTCCTTGACGAACCGATGGTCTTCGATGCCGTTGGCCTTGAGGAACTCCATGTAGGCCACCTGGAAGGCCTGCCCAATGGACTGGGCAATGAACTGCGCCTCGTCGCTCTCAAACACATGACAGATCATCTTGGGCGTACGATTCGGCTTGGGTGCATCGTCGATGTCCTGCGGAACAAAGCGCCGTCGAGCCATAAGAACCACCAGATCCCCAATGTCCGCTATATAGGAGATTGTGCGCAGAGCATGATCCATCATGATCTCCTTCAAGTCCGTGTTCAGCACCATTATCTTTTCCGTTGATATAAAAAGATCCACTTCGGTGCTGGGCTGAACATCGCCATCGGGTGCCTAAAAGTGGTTTATCGTTCGAATTAGTTTATCATTGTTTTGTGATTGCAACTTGTAAATGGGGATAAAGGACGGGACTCGTGTGTGGGTTTGTTTGCAGGACTTTTAGCTATTGGTTGGTTGGTGGTTCGTGGTGGGCAAGCTTCGCTTTCGGGAAACGAAAAATTGTACAGCGGGAAATGTCTTCAATTCAATTAAAGGCAAATCAGGCAAAACAGATAACTTGGTTCAAAGGGGGTTGGTCAGGCTGTGGGAATAGGTGTCACACTGCAGAGGCGTTCAGCTGTTTGTGTCTGTCTTCTAGTGTTTTCAGGTACTTACCAGCGCCTATTGGAGGATTATGCGAATTGGTTGTATTTGAATTTTTTATTTAATTGTTATTTTGTTGTTAATTTTTTTTCATTTTGTTTTTATTGGTTTGCATGGCGATACGTGGATTGGTTTAGCGTGGTGGTTGATCGTCGCGGATGCGGAGCAGTTGATGTGGAGGAGGTGGTTATGCATGAAAATATATATTTATAGATAGTAAAGAGTTAATGCGCTTCTTTTTCCCTCTCTGGATTTTTTCTTTTCTAGGAAATGGTTTTTGGGCGAAGGAGCACTGGTTATGGTGGGAGGTGCGGTGGAGGTTGGTGTAAAAAAAAAAACACAGAATCATTTGGACATCAAAAGTAGCTGAAAAAATTTAGCACAAAATGCAGTAGGCCATGGGGTGGAGGTGGAGAGCATCGGGCCAGAGAGTCTATCCAGTCGTTGGGCATGAATGAACGATAACTAATAGAACATTTTATCGATTGATATTTATGAACATTTGGCAATAAAAATGGAAAGAATAACACGTTATTATATTGAAATTTGGGAAAATTATTGACATAGATACGATTCAAACAAAAGTCCTGATAACGAGTCTTAAACCAACTTTGGCCACTTTGGTAGTTAAATTTAATAAAAAAAAAACTTAAAAAAATGAAACACCCAATGGAGAAGAGCAATCAAAAGAGATTTGTAGGTGGATTGGGTGGATGGTTGTTTGGAAACTTACCTTGATACGGGAAACGGCCTCCTCGGCCTGCATCATGCGCGTCGACTTTGTGGGCTGACCCTCGCAGACCAGCTGCGTGGAGCCTAAGTACTTGGCCCTGAAGAGGACACCCTCGATAAGCACTGCACCGCCTACAAGACGTAGAGAAATCGATTAGCCGATTTGGGTCGAATATACATCAGGGCATTATCAGAGTATATTTTGAGTATACGTTGGTTGGTATATGTGCTTGAGTGTATGTGTGTGTGATCTTAGTTGATCCTTAATGCTCCCCTATGTTTTTAATATCACTAGCAAGGTTTGTCCAAATTTTACATTAAGACTACTTTAAGAAGTTTATTTATTTAAAAATTTTGTCAGCTATCTTGTCAAAGTTATATTTTAGCCATAATCTACGGAGCTGTCAGTGTTCATTTCAATCCTATACGTCTATAGGTCTGTAAAGTCTGTAAGCGAATCAAATCAAGTGTCCCCTCCTGAGTGACCCCTTTGCAATTTGGTTTTGTTTCGTGTTTTCTTGTTAGTGTTGGAACTTAGTTACTATTACATAATGAAATTGTATCTTACAAAGTATTTTGTACACACACACAGACACAGTAAAATGAAGAGTTGAGTTTGGTTTTAGTTTTTTGGTAGAACGAACGACGCATGCAAAAAGTACGCAAATAAATATGCGAAAAAAACAGAGAAATTATATATATATATATATATATATAGGTATATAGATCTGTATACATATTGTATGAATTAATAAATTTAT